GCCCACTCTTTGCCCCACACTCTGCCCCACCTGAGGACATGCCTTTAATCTATCATCCCAGACTGCCGCCACTACACCTACGACAGATCTACAAAAGACTTGCTAGTGCACCACAGACAACGAATCAAACTAGAAGGAAACAAGTGACTACCTGTACACCTATTGAATGATTTAACTATTGTGAACTAAAGTAACATCAATTTAGCTAACACCAAAAGGAAAACAGTAGAACGGGAGGTACCAATTCCCGAGAACTAAATCTGTGTTGATTTGCAGCCCTCGATATACTTGCAAGCTCACGCACTGCTTCCCACCGCCCTTTGCTGACGCTCGTCCAGGTTGCTCTCCTTTGCTAGTGCTCGTGCGCCCAACTTGTCTCCAACCACTTTGAGACTTTCCCTGAAAACACAAAAAACACCACGACCCAAAAACCAACAAGGGCTATCACCGCTACCACTGGTGTAGCACCGAAAGTAACTAGCAGCCGAAATTAACTGAAGAAAACCAACAAGCAAGCTTCTGAAATAGGCGAGGAGATCCGGCAACATAACAGCAACAAACCGATGACCAAACGAGAGCAACTCGATAGCAATGGACAACAATTCAATCCGCCAAATTCCAGAAATTCTTAAGCTAAAATCAGAAATCAAATTAGCAAAGAAACAAATTGGGTATGAAAAATTGAAGATTTACATGGACATAATTTTGCCCTCGATCATTATTATTATTATTTTTTTTACTTGATTTTTTCTTTCAATTGGGATAATTGCTAGTACAAGATTTCAAATTCTAGACCAATTCTTTAAAAAGGATTTTTCAGTTAAGGAAAATGAAAAGTATTAGTACAACTAATCACTACCAATAAATGTTTAAATTTAAGCTGCTATGATGTGAAATTGTGAAGTAATGTACAGAAGTTTAGGTTTGCTTTCGCATATAATTTCCCGACAAAGAAAAAGAAAAAGAAAGTTGACCAGACCAGAGAGGGTAACAAAAACGTAAAATTTAATACATAAAATACGCAGCATTTTCTGAATATTAGATGTGCGTAATTAGCATTTTTTTTAAATACCAAACGAGGTTGAACTGAGAAACAAAATAAATTAGTACTCCAACAAGTAAGTAGGTTGGCTTATTCGTTACACCATGGAACGTATATATAATATAGTGTCTATACACAGGGCCAGAGCTAGAATTTGACCCTTGCGGGTTCAAGATTTTAGTCATTTTAAGTTACTAAATTTTAAATTATTAATTTATATATATTTAATGAATTTCTTAAGATAATTATAAGATATGGATTAAAATTACTGGATTCCGTCGAACCTGTAATGTAAAAGCTAGCTTCACCTGTCTAACCGAACAATTTCCTGCAGGAAACAAGTGGTATACATTTTTTGAAATTTAATTTAATATAACTTTCTTACATATTTTAAGAAAAAATTAATTTATGTACACTAACAATCATTATAATTTAACTTGAGATCCTCACATTTCACTAAATTTCGATGACAAAACAATATGTTTGTCACATGCCAGCCTACTAGTGATATTGTTCATTTTGGGCCTAGGCCTGCGCAACTTTAAAATGCATTATTAGAGTCTAAGGTCTGTTTATTTATATATCCAACATATCTATCGTATTTTTTCTTAGTGTCCTTGTTGAGGTTTTCCCTACTACTGTTCAAGGTTGCACGCGGAGTGACTCTACTACCATATGCAACAATCCAGCCCACTGATGATATTATCTGCTTTGGACCTAGGCCCGCACGACTTTAAAACGCGTCACTAAAATTTAACAATTATCTAGTTATATTAATGTCAAATTTGCCTAGGGTGTCACAATGCTAAAGCCTTTCCGTAGAATATAATATTGGGTTAGGAATATGGAGCTTTCTTCAAATGTACTTATCATGCTTTTGCTGATGCAAGTCACGTTTATCATCTGAGTTATTTTTTCAATTACTATCGATTAAGCATTAGCAGCTTGCTAATTAAGGTCATAAAACTACGTACTGATTGATTAATTCAAATAATAAAAAGAAAATATCAAACGTCATTGAAAAACCAGAAAATTTCGTTTTTATCACCAGAAGAAAATTAAAAATTCCAGTTCTTGATATTCTGAGGTGGGATTACAGTAAAGTCATATAACTAATTTTGTCACATTTAAGTAACTGTCTTTTACAATTATAACAGTAAAATCATAAATTTTACCCATTATAACAGTAAATTAGTCACTCTGACGGCTTGGCGGGTAGGTTTTGTTCTTTTATAATATGTAAAATATGGTGTACTTTGAGATTATATATAGTAAGTCAAAAATTCAGTTAACTCTAATGTAATAAAAAATTAATTTTGTGTCGATTTTATTGTTATAGTGAGTAAAATTTAATAATTTTAAAATAATTTTACCCTTTGCATTCTTCTCCAGCTCTTCTTTTCTCTTTTTGTTATATTTACTGTCTCGTACTTAATCTCCATGTTTTTCCTTAAGAGCCCTTCTTTTTCCTTATTTGCTTCATCAGCTTTACCCAATAATTGAGTGGTAAGCTCAAATTATTTGCTAAATTTGCTGTTATTTTTTTTGCGAATGATCTTTTAATTTATAGTTGGCTTTTCAAGCAGAAAAGGAAGTTAACTTTTTATATAAATTTGCCATTCTATAAACCAAATCCCCCTCTCTTTTTTCTTTCTTTCTTTCTTCTGGTATTAAGATTAATCACTTTGTGGAACTTGATTTGCTTTACCTAAATCTGCACATCTAATTCTCTTAAGTTCTTCTCAGAGTGTCAGTCTTAATATTGGATATATTTTCTTAATTGATGTCAACTTTTGTTTATTAGAACATTTTAATAGTATCAAGTCATGCAAATCCATCATAACGTGGGAACAATTGAATATAATAGATAGAATGAAGATAGTAGGGGATCTGTCATGACATGTTAACAATTGAACAAGATATGTAGAATAAAGACAGTGACAGTCATGTCAATTCGTTATGACTCGTAAACAATTGAATAAGATAGGTAGAACAAAAATAATACTAAGTTATTGTGATATTTTATACTTCAATATCATACAAGAAGGGTGTAATTTGTGCGGTGCCTAATTTTTGTGTGCACTAGATTATAGAAAGACCTGATTCTTCTATGCGTTCCTTACACTACAGTTGCGGAATAAATAATGCAGAAAGTAAAGACACAAGGATTTTTACGTGGAAAACACCTAGCTCAAAAGGTGAAAAAATCACGACCTACTACGCAGTAGGATTTTTCCAAATACTTCAATACAACTATGAGCTAACAACAAAGTTTACAAACTCTTGCAAACCTAAGGATTACCTCTAACCCTTGTAGCAACCAGTCCCACATAGGACAGTTCTTGACCATGTGGTTCTTTTTACAACATTTGAAGCATCCATTAGTCATCTGTAAACGATCTCTTCTCCTATCCTACCATAAGATATAGTAGTGATCATTGGATAGTGGTGGCCTAATGGTGAATTGCTCTTTATAGTTTTCAGGTAGTGCATTCATCTTGATCTATTTCTAAGGTGTTAGCCTCTTCAAAGANGGGGGGGGGGGGGATTGATTTGTGTGGTGCCTGATTTTCGCATGTACTGGATTATCAAAGGACCTGGTTCTTCTAAGTTTTTCTTAAACTACAGTTGCGAAATAAATAATGCAGAAAGTAAAGAACACAAGGATGTTTACGTGGAAAACACGTGGCTCAAAAGATGAAAAAACCACGACCTACTACCCAGTACGATTTTCCCCAAACACGTCACTACAACTCTGAGCCAACAACAAAGTTTACAAACTCTTGCAAACCTAAGGATTACCTCTAACCCTTGTAGCAACCAGCCACAGGCTGTTGCGACTGCTTCAAGTTAATTCTAACTTGAACAATACAATTAGAGTTTACAACCTCTTGCAAACCTAAGGATTACCTCTAACCCTTGTAGCAACCAGCCACAGGCTGTTGCGACTGCTTCAAGTTAATTCTAACTTGAACAATACAATTAGAGTTTACAACCTCTTGCAAACCTAAGGATTAACTCTAACCCGTATAGCAACACGACACATGTTATTGTGACTACTTCAAGTTAACTTTAACTTGAAAAATACAATTCAGGTACCTAGTACAATTTGCTTTTTAGAAAGCTTAAAGGTACAATTTAAAACGCCTACTACACTTTGAATTAGAAATAAATAAAGACACATAAAACTCTATGGAGCTGGTTCTTCAATCTGGTTCGTGTAGCTTCAGGATCACACTCTTAAATCTCATAAGAATTGCTCACAAAATACCTTGCTATTTTACTCTCAATTCGTGCTTAGCTTCAATATGTGTGCATTACCTGTAAAAGAGAATAAAACTGATATTTATAGAGTTAGTATAATAAGGATTAACTAGAAATCTAATGCTTTACTCTTACTTGGTGGAAGAGTTCTAGTTATCTTCAACTTCTAACTCTTTCCTTATCTTGGATAGAGTTTTCTTCAAGTAAGGAGTCCTGCTCCTTATCAAATATGCAGCCTTTTCATTCAGGGATTATCAGGAATAACCACTTATACTTATTCCTTTCACGTGCATGCCTTTTGCTTGATTCTGCCGGTCACCTGTGTACACTGTCCATAGACCTGATTCATGCATGTGTTCCTTTGTCAATCATCAAAACCAAAACCGTTCAAGTCAATATATTGCCAATTTGTCATGATTCGTGAACAAGATCATTGAACAAAATAGGTAGAATGAAGATAGTATCAAGCTATGTCAGTCGATATAACTTGTGAACAATTGAACAAAACAAGTGCAATGAAGACAGTGACAGTCATGTCAATATGTCATGACTTATAAACAATGAAACTAAATAGATAGGATAAATATAATACTAAATCATCGTCAATTTGTGATGACTTGTGATAATTTAAGAAGCGGACTTTGATCATGAGAAGAGTGTACATTAGCTTTTCGATACGGCTGTTGCACTTCAATCTTTTTTGAATGAGATCTGCTTACCATTTACTTATATTAAAAAAAATGCTCTCCTTTTGTCTGGTTCATTAAGCTAACAAAATAAGGAGAAGGATTCAGAAGTTTGTTCTCAATCTTGAATGTTGCCAAAGTTGACGACTCCAACCAAGATGGGTTGACGGAAGATATCGAATACAATCAAATCTCTCTATAATAGACGTATTTGTTTCGATATTTTTTGGATGCTATAGTGAAGTATTGTTAGAGAGGACATATATTATAACAGAATATTAAAGATCAGTTTCGAGGAAAAATTAGTTTTTATAGTGAATGGTAAAGATGCAATTATAAAGAGGCCCAACGGTATATGTTGATATTCCAGCAGCTTAAGGCTATTATTTTAGCTCAAAATTTCATTAAACTTAAAACGATCATTTTGGAAGGAGTCTCGGAGCAATGGTAAAGTTGTCTCGTATGACTTATAGGTCACGGGTTCGAGCCGTGGAAGAAGATGCTAATGCTTGCATTGGGGTACGCTATTTACATCACACTCCTTGGGATGCAGCTCTTCCCCGGACCCTACATAAACGTGGGATACTTTGTCCACCGAACTACTCCTAAATTGATCTTTCTGCACAAATTTCTAAAGAGGGAACAGAATAATTAGCGACGCAAAATGATCCTATTTGTGCAAATCTCCCTAAGTTAAACAGCAAGTGAAACAAATTTGTTTGCTGAAACAATAATAAAGTTGCTCATCAAACCATCTATATATCGTACTCCTTACATAGGAAACCTTATTACGTACTAAAGAAAAGAAGCGAAAGAAAACATAAGATTAGGCGGCATTAGTTTAATGGTTTACCTCAAAACTAAAATAAAACAAAATATAATGAGGACAAATTAATTTGCCAAAAGCAAAAAATTATTCCAACGATTTTATATCATGCACTATGAAGGCTTATCTTAAATTGAAACTTCCGTGCAAAAATAGAAGGCTGAAAAACAATCAAAAACCACACAAATACAACTCATCAAAAAACACAACAAAATAAAAGTCGAGAAACAGCTCTTGACCCTCAAGTTGAGGTTATCTTTCAACAAAGGACTGCAAATATAAATGATCAAGAAAATGAGACGCGAACTAGAGTAATTTCCAACACTCTACAACTTAATGTGAACGCGAAGTCGAAAATAAACACTTCCTTCAAATGCATCAGTGCTCAAAGTGGCTATTGTGGGGTCCAGCCCCATTTCAAGGAAGAAATTTTTTTCCTTCCTCACTTTTGTCAAAGTTGGTAATAGCACCGGCCCACATTTTTGTTTTCTGTAAAAAATGGCACGCTGCAGAGATGAAACTGTCAAATGAGATAGGTTGTATTCTGCCTATAAAATGAGAGCTCTCATTTTTATCATCACAATCTCAGAAGAAAATATATCTGAGAGCTAGAAAGAAAGAGTGAGGTTTCACAGATATGGTATAAGAAAATAGTCTGTGAAGAAAATAGAGAGTGTGAGCAATATTGTAGTGAGGTGAAATATCAAAAGAGGGTTATCTCTTTTGAGTATTGTAGTGGTCTTTGTAGTATTTTACTCGGGCCTACAAAGTGTAATTTCCTTACTATAGTGATATCAGTTGCTCCTCTCGGGGTCGTGGTTTTTCCCTTATTCAGAAGGGTTTTCCACGTAAAAATCTTGGTGTCATTGTTACTCTTTTATTCTTGTTAATTACCGTATCTCGGTGCTACATTATTATTCCGCTTTTATTAC